TATCGACATCTTCTTCATCGACGCCAACGCTCGAACGGGCAGTTTATGCAGTCAGGCAATCGGCGATCAAGGCTTCAAGCAAAAGGAGGACGACAACGGCGAACGTTTCCACAAGGTCCTGCAAGGTAACTCTCTCATAGCCGCGAATACCTTCAAGAGCGGAGGCCAGGACCACTACACATGGGACTCAGGCAAGGACGTGCACAGACTGGACTACATAGTGGTTGGCCACGAGCTCTTCGACTCCATCTCCTACACGTCCGTAATGTATGGCATCGACACAGAACACGACCACTCACACAAGAACGACCACTTCCCTGTCAAGGCTAACCTCGCCTATATCGTCGAGACCACATACCAGCACGGCACGCCCAAGCTCGACATCGCTAAGCTCGACTCCGAGACAGCCAAGAAAGACTTTCAACGACGCCTGCAGCAGATCCAACACCCCCCCTGGGAGACCAACCTCAACGACCATACTAAGAGCATCGTCGACCAGATAAAGGATGCAGCCTACGCCAGCTTCAAGAAGCAGCATCACGCCCCACGCAAGCCCTACATTACCGAGGCCTCCTACGCACTTCTTCGCTTTCGACGCACCCTCCTCAAGACGGTCCGCATCGTGAAAAGGAATGGCATTGGCTCCAAGATATCACGCAGACGGATCCGATACACCGCGCACCTCATCGCAAACCAGTCGGCTTCAGCGACCCCTGACGACGTTATCCATCTCATGGACATCCCTGGATATACACAGCTGATGATCAAGACCATCCTCTTTATCAACCACGCGGACCCCGACCAGACTACGGCTCCATACCACGACAGCACCTACTGCACAACCACCTTCACTACAAATCTTTTCGACTCATACATGAGCTTCATCAAGGATACCGACAGAGTCCTTAGGAACCGCCTCGATCATGACCGCGACGCCCACCTCGAGCGCCTCTCCGACAACATGATACTATCAGCCGCAGGGAACGCCCCGCGGAAGGAGTGGGCAAACGTGAGGGCATTACTCACATATGGCGGCCGCACACCTAAGAGAACTCCGACTCCCAAAATACGACAAGACGATGACGGCGCTCCGCTTACAACGCCACAAGCCATTGCGGAGCACGCCCTTCGATACTACGGCAACATCGAGAACGGCATCAACACCGACATCGAAGGCGTCGTCAAGAACTATAACAACAAGACTGCCCACACCAAGCCGATACCCCACATCGACAACGTCCAGACCATCCACAACCTGACATCCGCCCTGGCAGCCGCCAAGAAAGGCAAACGCGGCGGGCCCGACGGAAACACCGACGACATGGCACGAGCAGCGCCGCGACAGATCGCCCGACTTCTGCACCCTATCATGATGAAGATGCAAATGATGACGACGGAGCCTATTTCGGCGAAGGGCGGTTTCTCCACCCATTTCTCCAAAGGACAAGGACAGCTTCATCTGCAGAAGGCATACAGGGGCATCCTCCTGAACAACACTATAGGAAAGATCAACAGCAAGTTCCTGAGAGGCCTCTTCCGCGACATCCTACCCGACCTGCTCATGGACACACAATGCGGCGCCGTCCCTCACAAGGCGACCGACTTCATCACTCACACCGCCTACACCTTCTTGGACGACTGCCGTACACAGGCTCGCACCGGCAGCATCCTCTTCCTGGACTTGAAAGAAGCCTTCCATTCGGTAATAAAGGAGTTCATTTTTCAGCTGCCGACTCAGGAGGATGAGCTCGAAGACGTCATCGACAACATCGAGATTCCCATATGCCTTCTCCCATCCCTACGACAACGTCTTCGCTGCCCAGCACATCTCAACGCCCACGTCGACGACTCCCACCTCTGCGCCCTCGTTGCCGACCACCACACGGCCAACTGGATGACAGCCAAGGGCACCGACGCATACGTGATCCCACGCACCAGTACCAGGCCAGGGGTGCCATACTCCGACGCGGCTTTCAACATGCATTTCTCCCTGGTGCTTCAGGCCATCGCCGACGACGCTGAAGGGGCAGAAGACGGCGAAAGCGGCCACCACATCAGCCCCTGCGACAACCCGCTCTTCTCTACGGCCCCTCATCAAGGCGGCAAGCTGACCAACATGTCCTTCGTCGACGACCTCACCGACTTCAACTCGACCACACACCACTCCGACATCATTGACATTACGAGAACTTCAGCTGAACGTCTATGCCGCATAGCCTTTACCTACGGGCTCAAGCCACACCCAGATAAGACCAAGGTCATCATCTCCTTTAACGGGGCGGGCTCCAACGTCGTGCGCAGCAGGATCGCACAGCAGAACATTACATCAATCAAGCTGAGCATCATGTCGATCTCGGTCCAAATCACAGACCAGCACCGACTCTTAGGCACCATCCTAACCAACGGCAGCATGGGCCCCGAGGTGCAGAATCGCATGCAACGAACCGACGCTTCGGCACGAGCTCTGGAAAGGCAAATCCTAAGACGTCGACGCCTACCCCGCAAAACGAAGATCAAGTACGTGCACGCCCTCTCGACGGCCTCATTGACCTTCAACCATCACATCTGGCCAGCACTGACTAAGACCGACCACCAGCGCATATCCAACGCCTACTCGAAGCCCTATCGCACGGCAGCTGGACTACCCAAAGCTAACTCGCAGCTTCATCATTTCACGGCCACCGAAGTAGTAGCCTACACCGGCATCCCCGACTTCGACCACCACCAGTCTGCTGGACGGCTGCGATACTTACCACGGCTTCTACGACACGCTCCTCAGCAGCTCCTACAACTGCTTGACAGCCAGCGACGGAGAAAGGGCTCATGGACATACATGCTTTTCCAGGACTTCGACTTCCTGCGCACATACCTGGACGACCAGCGCTGGCCCACGACCAGCAAGCTCGACCCCGACATCTTTGCATGGGCTCGCACCACGCCGAAGCACTTCACCAACTCCGTCAACAGGGCCGTCACAAACTACATCCGCGCCTCTAAAGACCGCGCCCACGCCGACAAGCTGACCAAGGTGCTAAGACCCGACGGCCTCATCGGGGCGGGCACCACGCCATCACGTGACAACGGCGACAGCAACTTCATTTGCTACGAGTGCGGAATAGTAACTAAGACCAAGCAGGGCATGGCAATACATATCGGGCGGGAACACCGACGACTTGATCATCCGCGAAACTGGGCATCGGGTACATCGTGCAGAATATGCCGCCAGAACTTCCACTCCTTTGCCAAGCTAGTAAAGCATCTAACCACGGTCGCCCGATGCCGACGGTCATGGTACATGTGGTATTTACAAGGACCTGCCCTCACTGAGAAGGACGTGGCCACCAATCAGGAGATCTACGCGGCCAGCATAGCCGACAACAAACGCAGAGGCCGCCCCGAACTATATCATCCCATCCCTGCCCACGCATCCGACGTCACCCCCCTACCCTCCCTTGACTTATCACCTTCACCACCGCCCTTTTTCCCGACTGTAGCAGAGCTCACACCACCACCACCAGCCCACTACCCTCGGACACTGACCAGAAACAGATCCCTGCTTTACCTCACCAACACCGATAGACATCCGAACGATCTGCTCGACATCACGGACCAACGACTATGCTACAATGGAATGGTGATGGAACTGGCTACTATGACATTCGACGATCTCTACTCCGACGAACACCCATCCCAGTACGACGCCCTTGAATTGATACAACAGCACATTCGACAGGGTGACTTCGCAGGAGTGACGATCAACCTCTCACCCAGCACTTGGACAGACCAAGGTGATGGCGACATCCACGACAGAACGGCAGCATCCTCCAGAACAACCTCGGACCCATGGGGAAGAGTTAACCTTGGAGGCAGGGCAGCAGAACGTCGACTGATCGCGAACCACCACGCCCGCCTCGCCATCCACATCTTCCATACCGCCCACATTGCAGAAGTACCAGTACTACTAGCGCAATCCTCAGCCCCAGAAGGTCCGTCGCTGATGTGGACGACCGAGCAGATAAACTACGTATACTACGATACGGAGAGAATCGCCACAGGAAGACCGACCAGGATTGACTCCACCAGCAACCTCTACGCCATTTACGACGGCCACTCCCACGAGCACAGCAACCCACTCGACGACTTCGTCGACTCCGTCTTGGGCAGCATGCTCCCTGGAGGTCGGACTGCAGCCAGCAGATCCGACGACCTGAGCTGGCCGTAACAGGGCCCAAGAGGATCGAGACGGGCGCCTACCACGGCAAGACGACCGTGGGGCTCAAGGCGGCCGCCTACATCATCACGGACGCCCCCCTCAAGGGAGAGGGGGGGGGACGACACGGTCCAGGCGCGACCTGGGCCGCCACCCGCGTGAAGGCCTCATGGGGGTGGACTCCCTTCCTCCCCAAGGCCTTTAATGAGCCCCCTCCCCCCACTCCGCTTTGCCACCCCCATGTGGCCTCTCCCTTTTCCCCCCCTCCGCCCCGAAACTTCTGGGCCCTTTTTTCTCCCCCTGCGAGGCCCAAGCGGCTTCTCCTGCGAGGCCTAGGCGGCTTCTACTCCTTGCCCTCCTGGCGGGGGCCCGTGTCGGGGGGGTGGCCCCCTCCGCGCGCCTCGGGCGCGCGCGCGCGGCCGCGGCCGCGCGAACAGCTTCGTCCAACGGGACATCGAGCTGCGAGCGAAGCGAAGCGAAGCCCCCCGCACACCACGTGTCTCAAAGCTGCCCCGTCGACCCGCCCGCCTCGCTCTGCCCTGCCCGCGGGCCCGCATACATAAGCCGTCAGCCATATCTCTGGGCCTCACACTCTTTTGGCATCGCTCGGACGTGTGCACTTCTTCTCGGTGGGGACCGTCGAGGAGCATCTTGGATCATCTTGGAGAAAGGAAACAAAAAACACACACAAACAAACAAACAAACAAACAAACAAACAAACAAAAAAGGCACGAGACCGAAAAATGCACGGGGAGTGGACGCCCGAGCGACGACGAGCACACGGCCGCAGGCTCACCGCAGAGGGGCTGAGCGAGGAGAAGCGGGCGTCCTACCGCGCGCTGATGCTGCAGATCAAGGAGGGCCTCCCCCCCGCCCTGCCGCCGCGCAGCGCCTCGCCGCCGCCGCCACCGCCGCCTTCCGCCTCCACCGCGGGAGGCGCCGCCGCCGGGGAAGGGGCGGAGCGGCGCCTCGGGAGGCGGGAGCACGGCGGCGGATCCCGTCGGGTGGACGTTTGCGTGGCATCGTTCGGATTTGTGCATGTTTTCCTCGGCGGCGAGGACCCTCGAGGAGGATCCGGGATCATTCAGTCTCGCACGAGACCGAAGAAAGCGCAGGGAATGGACGTCCGAGCGATGGCCAGTTTGTGGAACTTGTGTGAGCTCCGTGCGGCCATGAAATCCGACGCTGCGAAAGCATCGCAACCTCGCAGAAGAGCACCATCGGAGCCCCAGAACCCCACCCATTCTGCGGCACACCAGGGCAGGTATGTTGAATGTTGTGCGTCCTGGGGGAGGGTACCCTCGAATGTGCTCCAGTTTGGCCGGCAGCGGACCTCACGTTCTTGGAGGATGTTCTCCTACCTTCGGTCCGGCTTTACACGAGGTGTCACCAGGGGAGCTGCAAGCTCTGCTGGCCGCTGAGTGGGCCGCCCACCAGCGCCAGCAGGCACGAGAGGTCGAGCTGGCGAGCCAGCCAAAGACTGTCGTGCCAGCCCCCCGCCCCAGGCGGACCACAGCCGCAGCCTCAGGTCGTGACATCCTGATGTTCGAGCGGGGCCACTGGCTGCTGCCACGGTCCCCGCTGCCTCGGCTGGCCCGCTCCGGCCTGCTCCACGCGGAACTCTTCCACGTCCGAGCGCTTCCCCCTCCTCTTCCCCCCGCGCGGCCGCCCTGGTCTTGTTTCCTTCCTCTTGCACGCCAAACAATTCGCCTTTCGGTTGCCCCGAGTAGCCACACGCTGGAGCGGACTGCCTCTGCCTCGTCGCCGACGGAAAAATCTTGAGCGGGGCCGGGTACTTGATAGCCGCCCTGTCCGCCATGGTCCAGGGACGGTCGCACAGGTGCCGAGGTAGCCAGGTGGAGCTGATGTTCCAGAGCATGCCCCGTCCAGACGATCCACGGTGTACTTGGTGCACCACCGACTACCAATCGGACGTTTCAGGCAACTGAATATGGCCCTGAGTGGCAATTGTCACGTGCACGCACACGTGCACGCAATCACAGCCGTATCATGTCAACGTCGTCATCAGCCTCGACATATTATTACATCAGTGCATACCACGTCGAATTAACATAGCGACCGATTTCCAATGTTATCATATCATCCTGATGCCAACGCGTCACACCTCATGACTTGCATGCTTACTGAAGGTTCCCCTTCATAACGTGACGATTCGAGCTACAATTGGGTGATACGACCAAGGGCGACACTGTTGAGGGAGGAAGGAGCGGTGCGGGATCCAGAGATGTTATTAGGCGTATATGGACGATAATGGGATGTGCCCACTGCCAGGGCGGTCAGTCGATTCTCCAATCATCCAGATCCGCTTCTCCGCCTCGAGCTCCAATTCAAGACACCATCAGGCATCATCGTCTAGCATCATGGCTTCTGTAGCCGTTCCGGCTCAACTGAGGGCCCGCCCTCCCGCACACGCTCGTGCGATAGTTTTGCGAGTAGCGTGAGTGCTGTGCGGAAGGCGGTGTAAAGCGGAGAGTGGAGGGAAAGGGAGAGCCATGGAGCCTCAGTCGATCGGCAAGGTAGTTGGTTCAGAAATGCGAAGCGAGGGGAGGGTGTCGGGACCTTCTCAGTCAGGCACACAGAAAGACCCGTCGGGAAGGGCGAAGAAAAAGAAGGAAAATGCGCGTAGCACCAGTACAACGGCAGCATCAGGAAGACAGCGACCTGGGGTTGACAGTCAGGAAGGACCTGGCAGTCAGGAGATGGCTGACAGACAGGAGGTCAATGATCTGAGACTTCAGGTGGAGAGACTGGAAGAATTGATGGGGAAGTTGCAGCAGAGGCTCGATTTGCAGGAGTCTCTCCTAACGCAGGCTGTTTCCGCCCTTCGAGGGGCTCAGAAGTCCTCACCAGAGAAGGGTCCAGAAGCCCAGATCGGTGAGAAAGATGGCTTTGAGATGCCAATACAAGCAGAGTTTGCTGGCGAGCCGCTGGTTTCAGAGAAGGTCGCCGATGTCGATGGCGACGCGGAGGAACCGCCCGCAAGACAAGACGTTTCAAGTAGGCACATGCTTCGGAGGAACATGACGACTGGCCATTTTGACCAGCTCGTGGAAAATAAGGTTGGTTGGGAAAATTCGATTTGGGACATCTCGTTTTTCATAGGCATGAAGGAAGTAGACGTGGCCGGCTCAGTCTTCACATTTTTGGTATTGTTCCTAAATTTGCTCATCCAGTTCGTTTTTATAAACATCGTTGAACAGAGTTTCACCAGCAGCAGCTTCAGTGACGCGACGATCGCCGCCTTCAAGAAGTGGCGCTTGAATTTTGGACATGATGCGTCACACCTCGACAGCTCTTTCGTGTCCCTCGCCAGTCGCCTTTGTAGCGAGGACAGGTCGCTAGAGATGTCCGGCGAGCAGGCAAGGGCATTGTCTCTTATCCAGAATTACATCCCGACAGACGAGGGGAAACACCTTGTATTCTTTGGGAGTCAAGTTGGCCCAGTATTTTGCATTTTGTGCATCACCCTCTGGGTTCTGACGACATCTTCGGAATTGCAGCGCATCGTGTCGCAATGCCGGGCCCTCCTGATGCTACCGAGAACTCATGGAATTCGGTCCGGCACGGTGGTGAAGCAGAAGCCGAAAGGTGGTTGGACGTTGGTGTCGTTGTGCCCTGTCCGGATCGGCATATTTTTCATAGTTCAATTGTTCCGCATTTGGATCGCGGCATGGCTCACAAAAGCGGGGATCCAGTTTTTGGTATACACCACAAGTCTCAGAGAATTGGTGCTCAAGGCAGTAGGATTGAAGTTTGTCCTCACTGTGGACGAGTTGCTGGCACAGGCTCTTGCGCCGACGCAGGCAGTCAAGTTCGTCCAGCTACTAGACCCGATGAAGGGGCCAAAGCGGGCGTCATGGCGTGGCCTCGATCGCCGCACTTTCTGCTCCGCCATTGGCATTCTTGTCGTCATAGGAACCGTGGTGCCACTCTGGCTTGCACCAGAGATCTCGCGCTTGGAGCAGGCGCGTGATGCTTTGTGTGCAGGCGATACCCAATTCGTAACGACTCCTTCGACGTACCCACCCTACACATGGTGGGCTAAGTCCGTAGCGCCAGACACGGAAAGCATTACTAGGGATGCGAGCGGTGTATGGGACGTTGCCGACGACGGACAAGGATTGTCTTTCGATTACCGTTTCAGCCATAGGATGACAGCGAGGATTATCAGGACGGATCTTGCAGAAGAAGCGATAGATATGAAGAACCCATCTATTCTCGGTTCTGCATGGTCCTTGAAAGCGATGGAGAGTTGGGGTGTTGCCAAAGGTGTAAATCGTTTCAATTTCTATTGCGAAGATGGTGCGGGCTACGGCGACATCAAGAATGCGCCAATGTGGTATCAAAGTGCACTGGATGACTTCTTTGAGAAACCTATTCGCAGCTGCGCTGCGGCAGCAGAGTTTTGTCATAACGACACTGCAGCCGGAGTTTGCGCGCGGTCGTGGTGCCCAGTAACGTGCGGTTGCAGATCCCCGAGCTCAGACCTTATCTTGAAGGACACTGAAAGCGGATGCCCTGCCCCTTGCAAGGATCACCCCTTGTATGTGGCGGAGCTTGCGAGCGCTTCTTGTGTTGAGAGGGCGCCAGAGGTGATTACACAAGCCAGCGATTGGCAAGCGTTCATGGCGAATCTAGAGGTGGCCGCGACGGATTGGACTCCAGGGGGCATTGAGTTTGCCAAAACCATTACAGGGACCATGGGTGCCTATGGATGCGGCGCAGTCACAATTCTGAAGGAGAGCTTCGACATGTGCAGGGAGGGAGACAACTACAAACCAATCCCCATGAAGACCTTGCGTTTCATGTGCCCTCAGACCTGCAACTGTACGCCTGACATGTTTGACTGTCCTTCTTCCATCGCCTGCAATGCGACGGTGTAGGTGGAACACCCACCACAGAGATTGTGGAGTTCTCACGGTTGTGGCGGCTTGCCACCCATCGTTTTTCTTGATGAGGTCCGCAGTGGCCTCTACGCTGGCGAGATGCTTTCCCCCACCGTTTTTCCTGAGAAGTTCCGCAGTGGGTTTTTTCCCGCTCGTAAGATCCACAACGCTTCGCGTTCACTCGGCCAGACGGGCTGTCCCCTGCTCCTGTGGATGTTCCTCTTCCGCGCAGCTTCGAGGGGCAGCCTGTTTCCCCGGCCCTCTTGAGCGGCCCCATCCGGGGGCCCCCTCGTGCCGCCGCGAGGCTCTACTCGGGGCCAACTCGGGCCGTCTTGCGGGGCTCTGGGTGCTTTCTTGGGCCATCTTGGCAACCAGGCTCTTGCACAAGGGGGCATCGTGGGGCCGTCTTAGACTGCCTCGAAGCCCTCTTGGGGTTGTATAGTGGGGGCTGTTGTGTCGGTCTCCAGTGCCCTCTGGGCCCCTCTGGGACTAGAGGCTTGCTGATTGCTGCTTGCCGCGCCTGCCTCTGCTGCTGCTGCCGGCGGTTCTGCTGCTGCTGCTGGAGGGAGACTGGCCGTGGGCGGCCTCGGGAGGGGGGGAGAGGTCCGGGAGTCCGCTGAGCCGCGGGGTCGGGCAGTGGGGGGCTGGGGGCCTTCTGTCGTGCCGTCGGGGGAGCTGGCCCTCGCCGAGGGCGCCCAGAGTCGCGCCTTCGGGGCAGGCTGGCTGCGGCGGTGTCTGGGCCTCGCGTGAGCTCCGTCGGGGGGGGGGGAGGCCTCCCTCGAGGGCTCTCCTGCGCTTCCTGGGGCCGCCAGGGGGCCTCGTTAGACAAATGTTGGGTGATGTTGCTCCCATCGTACTTCAGGACCAAATCCTCAAAACAATTTCGAGCACCCAGACAAGTATCGAAACGGTGTCGAAGGAGTATCGCCTCCCAGAGCCCGACACGTGGAAACTCTCCAGTTTCGGCATGTTCTTCGTGCTCGAAATTGTTTTTTCAAGGTGGATCGGGCTAAAGTAGGTTAGAACATCAGAAGGGGCTGCCTGGCCTTCTTGCGGGAGCCCTCCTGTGCCGTATGTGGCCGTCGTGGGTGCAGCCTTGGGCTGCCTTGAGGGTGCTCTTGGCCGCTTGGAGCTTCTCCGAAAGCGATCCTGAGGCCGTCATGGTATATTCCTGGGATTCCGTGGAGGCGTCTTGAGGCCCTCGGAGGCGATCCAGAAGCCATCTTGGCCCTAGCCGACCAGAAACCGAAAAGCACGGAACAATGTTTGATTGTGCCATGATTTGGGGCAGACAGGGTCTTGGGCTTCCACTGAGGCCTCTCCATACGCCTCTTGGGACCTCGCACGGCGTCTTGCACTGGTCTCGGGGTCTCTTAAGTTTGCTGGGACCTTTGGGTGCTTTCCGTGAGACGTCGCGAGGCCGTTCTGGGCCATGTTGACGCCTGTTGGGCCGCTTGGGCCCGTCTCGAGGAGTTGGGTTTGGAGGGCGTAGCTGGTTGTCCTGTGTATTTGGGGGGCCCTCTTGGGCAGTATTGGAGCGCTGATGACGCCCCTGAAGCAAATCAGACAAAGCCTGGAAAGCGATAATACATGGCAACCATGTGTTTGTATAGTATAAGTCGCCTGGAAGTCATCTGGCGTCCTCTTGGGGACTCTCTTGGAACCTCTCGTGCGCTACTGTTAATCCTTGATACCTCTTGGGCTGTCTCAGAGGTATACTGGTCCGTCCCTGCGTGATCCTCGTGGGCCACCTGGCACGGAGCTCCCGTGCATTGCCGAGGCCCTCCCGAGCACTCCCCAGACCCTCCTCGGCGATCCTTGGCGCTCCCAGGTAGCCATTGGGGTTGGACCATGCTCGGACGAGGGCTCCGCCCAACGGCCCACGGCCCACGAATGCAACTCCCACATACAATCCTTTTACCTTCCATTTGAGACTTCGACGTGCCTCCCGTTTGGCAAGAACATGTTCGTCTGCTGTGTTATAGCCGCCTGTAACCTTTCCCCGCGCAGGCCAGACCAGAGAATGTATGATTGACGTTTCGCGCATCCCAGCCAGCCCATCCAGAGACGTTACCAAGGCGAGTTGCTGGGAGAAGGGAAGCATGCAAGCATGTAGTGAGTCAAAGAGGCGAACACCGCTTCATTCGGGGACCGGTAAGAGCTTTTTGGAGGCCTCTTCAAGGCATGCTGGATCTCTCTTGGTGCCCTTTTGGGAGCTGTTTGCGTCCTCTTGTGGCTCTCATGTGGCCCTCTTGGGAGCCTCTGGGGCTATCTTGGATGACATCGATCAAAGAGGGGGGGGGCAACCGGCCCCGCTTCGTCAGAGTTCGAAAACTCACCGGCCCGTCTGCAGCCTTTTCCGAGCCCCTTTTGGGGCTCTCTTTGGCGATGTTGTGGCCATCGTAACGCTTCAGAGACCCATCGGAAGCGAATGGGCGAGAAAGAAAAAAGCATGATTGGAAAACACGAATTGCTTAAATGAGATTGGCGTATCGGAGTTCTCCTTGGGGGCTCCGGGGCCACGCGGAGCGGGCTTCGATTGGTCGTGTGGACTCTTGGAGGCATGCTGGAGGCCATTTTGGGCTATATTGCTACGTCTTGGAGGCTATCTTGGGATATCGAGAACCTTTTGGAGCCGTCTTTGAGCAATCTTCGACGACGTTCTACCTTCTCACACCACCACGCGTCCAAACCCAGGGGAGGGGTAGGAGGGAGTAGCAGGGGTCGGCGGACCCTTCCGAGAAGAGGAAGAAGGAGGTCGGACGATATAAATACCTAATCCCCCGCAGCTGCGGATAAGAGAGAGGGTGCTTGGCGGCGCTTTTAGAAGCCACGACGCGCTCGCTGCTAGCGGGATTTGAACCGAAACCGCTACGGACACACCGCCCCTCTTCGGTGAGCCGTCCAGCGTGCTAGCGTGGCCCCCCAGCGTGGGGTGGCCCCCCAGCGTGGCATCCAAGCTTGGCCTCCTAGCGTGGCCTCCCAGCGTGGCCTCCCAGCGTGGCCTCCCAGCGTGGCCTCCCAGCGTGGCCCCCCAGCGTGGCCTCCCAGCGTGGCCTCCCAGCTGGGCTCCTAGCGTAGCCGCCGGAGAGACGACCCCAAGACGGACGAACGCGAGCAGGGACAGAGTAAGACCGCTCGGGCACCCTGTCTCTGATCTTTCTTAACAACGTACGCCCAGGGGGCTGGTGGGATTCATGCCAAAATCTCTCATTCGGCGGACTGTCCGACATGAAAGAGCCGTGTTGGTGGGAAAAGATTCCGCAGCCTCCATTGGTGCATTGCTTGGAGAGGTAAAGACTTTTTCACGCCGGTACCCGAGGGGTCACGGATTATAGAGTTGCGTTCGCGTTCCAAGGGCATCGTCGCAAAAGCGCAGTTTTCCCACGCGCACGGGATCTCAAAGGCTTTGTGTTTCCTACGTTCTTATGAAGCGTGGTGGTTGAGATGCCAGATGCTTGTGAAATTCACCTTGGTATAATGATTTTGTCCGCCAGAGCGATGCCCGTACCAAACAACAGCAGCCCAGGTTTTCTGTTCAGGGTCACGGTTCGATTGCTTCAGATATTTGCACGTCTGTTTGCCATCAGCCATTTGTACATACACATAGTCAGTCAGTCAGTCAGTCAGTCAGTCAGTCAGTCAGTCAAGCCTGGCGCCCAAACGGCGCATTGGCAGATAAAGAATTGCGCGCGTGAGTTGCGTGGAGAGGGGAAGGAGCAGGTGGGAAGAGGAATAAGAGAGGGAGAGAGGTACGAGGACGCCGAAACAATTGAAGCCGGTGCTCTGCAAGAGCGCGTAGACATTGGAAGCCCATTGCTGTTTGGGTCTCCCTCTCTTCCTCGTGCGCCCCCATAGCCTGGGCAACTTTGTTCCGGGCTCACAGGTAAACAACTTGAGGAGGTTATCTTCCGGGAGTGCCGAAATCTTCCTATACAGCTTCATTTGCCGGTCGCGGAGCGTTCCGCTCAGCGGCGACTCCTGCGCACGTTCCAGAACTGTTTTTGGATTCTGAAAACACATCGCAAGCATTGCGCGTGGAAGCTGTCTAAGCGAGCTATGTCCGCTTGCACTGCCCAGACATTTTCCAAGTTACACGACAACTTGGGCAAGACAATCGCCTTGTACAATTGTATGTTTCGATCGCGGCAGGCATTCGCGTGCGACCAACAATTCGACAGAGCTTTAAACACAGATTTGGCCTCACCGAATCTCCGAGTGACTTCTGGTTTTGCGGAGCATTTCACGTTCAAGAGCCTTCCGAGATACACCGCTTGGTCCAATATTTTCAGCGGGGCGCCGGTGGGAGAAAGCACAATGCCAGTATGTACACGCATACATAAAGTTCTATCAAAATTCAAGTATAATCCATATCTCGTGCGTTCGTCGATGACCGTGTTGAGTAATATTTGACGCTTCCCAGAGCCATTGCTTAGTAGCATTGTGTCGTCGGCGTATACAAGGTCACTGCATGCCAAGTAAATAGGCTCCTGGATACCACCATGTAGGCCAACCATTACGTTGTCGATGTCGAAGAACATGATACTCTGTACGAAAATAAATGAATCTGGATGTACTTCCATACAAACAGATGAACAGACACATAGGTGCAGATATCATCAGACATAGGGGTACATCTACATGTCTGTACCCAGTTGCCTGCGGCAAGTCCCGCCACCGTGCCATCCCAGCATTCTGAGTGGCGACTGTACGAGGAGGCGCGGGAGGCCGTCACGTCTGACAGCTCTTGTGGCCAGGCTTGGAGATGCGTGATAAGGATGATGAGGATGATGGGGATGATGATGATAGCGACGATAGATGATGATGGTGATGATGATGATAATGATAATGATGGTGATGATGGTTATTATTATGCTGATTGTGATGACGATGATGATGATGATGATGATGATGATGCTGATGATGATGGTGGTGGTGGTGATGGTGATGATGATGGTGTTGACGGTGATGGTGATGATGATGACGATGTTGTGATGGCAGTGACGATACTGCTGATGATGGGAATGATGATGGTGCCGATTGTAATGATAACGGCAATAATAATAATGATGATAATAGTGGTGATGATGATGATGATGATGACGAGGGTGGTGATGATGGTGTTGATGATGATGGTGGTGGTGAGGGTGTCGATAATGGTGATGTAGATGGTGATGATGATGTTGAGTGGGGCAGTGGTGATGTTGATGATGATCGATGGCGATTGTATGAATGGTGGTGATGTAGATGGTGATGAATGTGTTGTTGATGCTGCTGGTGGTGATGATGATGTTGCTGATGGTACTGATGATGTTGACGATGTTCGGATGTTGGGGGGTGAGATCGCAGTGGGGAAATCGTTTCGTTTCGTTCGTGTCGCGCGTGCGGGCGAGGCGGAGCTGCGTGGGCGCGCGAGAGGAATGAACCCGCCGTTGCTAGGGCGAAGTCAAGGCAAATGATTCTCCCCCTCGCGCCCGTCCGGCGGTGGCCCGCGGTGTCCCGCGGTGTCCTGTGGTGTCCCGTGGTGTCCCGTGGTGTCCGCCGCTGCTAGGGCGAAGCCAAGACAAATGATTCTCCCCCGCCCGCCCGTCCGGCGGTGGCTCGCGGTGTCCTGCGGTGTGCCGTGGTGTCCCGTGGTTTCCCGTGGTGTCCGCCGTTGCTAAGGGGAAGTCAAGACAAATGATTCTCCCCCGCCCACCCGTCCGTCCGTCCGTCCGGCGGTGGTTCGCGGTGTCCTGCGGTGTCCCGTGGTGTCCCGTGGTGTCCCGTTGAGTGAGATCGATAGTGAGATCGATATTGAGATCGACGTGGTGTCCCGAGGTGTCCCGTGGTGTCCCAAAATGTGAGATCGATAGTGAGATCGACAGGTGTCCCGTGGTGTCCCGTGGTCTCCCCTTGAGTGAGATCGATAGTGAGATCGATAGTGAGATCGATGTGGTGTTCCGAGGTGTCCCGTGGTGTCCCAAAGGGAGACATCGATAGTGAGACCGACAGGTGTCCCGTGGTGTTCCGTTGAATGAGATTGATAGTGAGATCGATAGTGAGATCGATGTGATGTCCCGAGGTGTCCCGTGGTGTCCTATGGTGTACCGTGAGTGAGATAGATAGTGAGACCGATAGTGAGATCGAGAGGTGTCCCGCGGTGTCCCGTGATGTCCCGTGATGGCTTGTGGTGTCCCGTGGTGTCCCGTTGAGTGAGATCGATAGTGAGATCGATAGTGGGATCGACAAGTGTCCCGTGGTGTCCCGAGGTGTCCCGTTGAGTGAGATCGATAGTGAGATCGATTGAGTCAGATGTTGGTTCCCCCCCTCTCCCCCCCCCCCACAACCTCCTTATCACCCGAAGGGTGGTCGTATAGGTAATATGACCGTGATGGTGACGATGCGTGATGGATGACGATGCGATGATGATAGGATGATGATGATGATATGGTGATGATGATGATGATGATGATGATGATGATGATGATGATGATGATGATGATGATGATGATGATGATGATGATAATAACGATGAAGATGACGATGGCGATGACGATGGCGATGACGATGATGATGATGATGATGATGATGATGATGATGATGATGATGATGATGATGATGATGATGATGATGATGATGATGATGATGATGATGATGATGATGATGATGATGATGATGATGATGATGATGATGATGATGATGATGATGATGATGATGATGATGATGATGATGATGATGATGATGATGATGGTGGCGAAACTCATTTGAGTCCCCTTGGGCCGTCGTGGTACCCTCTTACGCCGCTTCGGGGCTCTCCTGGGCCGTCTTGGGGCCCTCTTGGCCGTATGGTGTGTGTGTGTGTCTGGGGGCCGTCGTGGGATAGTTGCTTTCTCCGTCTTGGGCCGTCCGAGGGCCTTCTAAGGCCGTCTTGGGTCCCACGGGAGGCCCTCTGAGGCCGTCTTGAGGCCGTCTTGGATGCTTCTTGGGCCGTCTTGGAGTCCTCGTGGGCCGTCTTGAGCTGACGGCAGCCCGAAAAGGCGAGAATGTGAAAATCATTCCAGAAATCATGAGAAATCAATGATGCTGGTTTCTTCGGACCCTGTTTGAGGTCCGATTGTGGCCCTTTGGGGCCCTCTTGGAGGCATCTTGAGACGTTTTGAAGCAATAGTCGGCCGCCTTGCGGCCATCTTGGGCCGTCTTCGAGGCATCGTGGGCCATCTTGGTGTCCTTGGTTGCCTGCACGGGCCGTCTGGGAAGCTCGGGGCGCAGATCACTGCTTCTAACAAGGGATCGTGGTTTGGGAGGCCCTGGAGCGCTTGGGAGCAGCGCCTGGGAACGCGGGACGTGCACGATCCTCCAGCGGGTGCGCGCGGGATGAGGGATCTACGAAGCAGCAGCCATGCGGGAAGTGCGCAATCTTCGAGCGGGCGCGCATGGGATGAGGGTTCGGGCAAGAGCTACCATGTGGGAAGTGCACCATCCTCGAGCGATCACGCGTGGAATGGGGGTTCAGGCATTGGCTATCATGCAGGAGGTGCATCATCCACGAGCGGGTACGCGAGGGAGGTTCAGGCATTGGCTTTTCTGCACCATCCTCGAGCGGGTACGCGTGGAAGGAGGGTTCAGACTTTAGCTGCCATGCGGCAAGTACACCGTCCTCGAGCGGGAAAGCGTGGAAGGGGTATTCAGGCCCCAGCTGCCATGCTGGAAGTGCACCATCCTCGAGCGAGCACGAGGGAAGTGGCCCCAGTGAGTAGGGGGATGCACGCCGCAGAAGTCTGCGGCTGCGGGAAGGGCGGGCCTCTTCATTGGATTACAAGAATCCTACCAGACAGACATTGGCATCCTTCCACGCCCCAACGTGCACAAGGCACGGTGGCGGAGATGTACACACCGAGGGTGTGAGTGGTGCTTCTAGATATTCGTAAAATGTTGGGAGGGCAGATGTTCCGGTTGCAGACCAGGAGCGCGGAAGGCAAGACGGCATTAGACAACCTCCTGTTCCCCCCGCGGTTTGCCCGCGTGTTGCCCTCATTGCAGGCACTCGCCTTCATCATCCTATTTCTATCCCTTCCCGTATCTCGGCGGCGAGAGGGGGCGGGCCTTCTAAGAAGGCGGCGGGTCTTCTCAGAAGAATCCCTCCGGCCTTCTACGAAGGCCCTCTGCGGCTTCGGAGAAGGCATAGCAAGCTTCTCGGAAGACCAGAGGCTTTCTGGGCCTCTTGAGAACGCCTTGCACCCTCTGCCTTCCCCCCAGGGCGTGCCATCGGCCACACCTGGCGAAGACCTTATCTCTTGTCCCCTCCCCCTCCCCGCCCGTCGGCACCGCAGCCGGCCACCGCCCCGGCCGATCGCGGCGGGTCCCAAGGTGGGCGACGGAAAGCCAAGCGGGCCCGTTGAGTGTGTGGCTATGTTCGTTTTTCGCTAATCGACCGCGTGGGCGTCCACAGTCGCAGCGGCTGGTTCTGTTCTACCCCCGCTGCGGCCGTCTCTCTTGTTTTCGCTATCCTGCGCCTGCTTCCGCCTTTCCTCTAACCTTAAGTCGGGCCTGTCTCTCTACAGGGGGTATATTCGAAAATTGTCAAAAAATAGTCTGCGGGCGGTGTTTTGACCATTTTGACGGTTTTTGATGTTTTGGGGGTATGGTTTAAAAATTGTTGCCCTAAATCCGCCTGTAGGGGGATATGCCCGACCTAAGCCTAACACTACCACTGTGACCAGCGCGTCGCCGAGCGAGCGCTCGTCGAGGAAAGTGGTTGCGGTCGCGACGCTCAGACGTCGCCCCTCCAGGTCCACCCCTCGGTAGCGTACGAATCGACGGCGCAGGTGGGGTTGAGGGCCAGTCAAATTTCAAAGCAGAGGGAGGGGGAAAGAGGAAGAGCAGAACGATGAAGGCCTCGATCCGAGCCGAGAGTACAGCGGGCGTGTGGCAGATCAGCAAACAGTGAGCACGGCCGCCTTTGTTGAATGTTACCCTCTGCTGCCCCGTCGCCCCAAGGGGAAGATCGACGCGCTGAATGGAGTTGTCGGCACTGATGACGGCGCCCCCCTCTCGAGCGCACCGCGTATTCCAGCATACGGTTTATGGTATGATATATCATGTTCCCTTTGCCCCCACCAAGGGATTGCACGCGACTCATGTTCGCCTACCTCATCACAATGTCACACAAGTTGTGTTCTGCGCACGACTCACGTATCGCTTTCCCACTCTATTTGCCGTTTCCATCTTACGACATCATGTTCGTTTTACGAGATAAGAGTCTTGCTCACTCATGGTTGATTACAAGGTTCCGTTCTAGCAGCGGCCATGAACAGCAGGTTATATTTTTGTGCTAGTTTCTTGATCCAAGTGAGGACGCATGTCCACCAGCGTGTCATCCTAGAGCTTGGCAAGAGCTGCTATGCAGGTAGGCTGCATTCAGTAATGTTCTGTCGTTGGCGGATCTGAAAGTCCGAGCTTGACCCAGACAGCCACCTCCGAACATAATGTCGATTGAGCTATCTTTCGGGTGGAGGTAGCGCCTTCCGCGCACAGCGCTTTAGCACAAAGTTGCCACACCTTTTTAATTTGTATATATATATATACATACATATATATATATATATATGTGTGTATATACACCCAGGTTTAGGGGGCCAGGCCGCCAGGAGTGTGCCTGCGCCCTCCATGGGGGGTCCGGGGCCCACTTTTCTTGTGTTTTGTGAAGGGTTTCGGCGTTCCAGAGCCTCCGAGCTCGCCAGGAGTGTGCCTGCGCCCTCCATGGGGGCTCCGGGGCTCACTTCCCCTTTGTTTTTAAAGGGTTTCCGCGTCCTGGGCCTCGGAGGCCACCGCCTCCGACCCCCCATGGGAGGACGGGGCGGCCGGGGAGGTCCAAAATAGTCCAGGAGGGCCTCCACAGGCTCCCAAGACGGCCCAAGCGGGCCCCGAGTCGCCGAAAGACCACTCCAGGACGCCCAAGATAGGCCCAAGACGGCCCGAGAGGCCCCCCAAGGCACTCCACGACGCTTCAAGACGCCTCTCCAGAGCGCTTCAAGAGGCCGAAATTGTCAATTTTACGAAGGTTTTCGAACGATTTTGGCCTTCCAGCCTTTTCGGCTGTCCGACGTTCCAAGACGGCTCAATAGGCCCCCAAGAGCGCCCCAAGACGGCCCAAGAGGGCCCCAAGACGGCCCCAGAGTCGCCCAAGACAGCCCAACAGAGCCACAAGACGGCCCCAAGATGCCCCCAAGAGGGGGACCACGACTCCAAAATTCAACCCTCCCGCTTGAAGAGTGCCCCAGGAGGCCCCAAGGAGCCCCCAAGAGGCCCCAGAAGGCCCCTGAGGAGGGCCCACAACGGTCCCAAAACGGCTACCGAGAAGCTGCGAAATTGCCTTCACGACGTCCCCGCAGGCCAACCACGAGATCCAAACCAACACCCATGAGGCCTCTGACCCACCACCCAGGGCACGGTGGCGGAAGCAGTGACAGCACTTGTGCACAGCATGTTCCCGGAACACGCTGCAGGAGGAGGAAGATCAAGAGGAGAGAAAGGTGGAGTAGGAGGAGGAGGGGGGGGACGAGGAGGAGGAAGAGGCCTCCCAGACAGCTCCAAGATAGCCGAAGAGGCTTCCAAGAGGGCCCTGGGCGGCCCACGAGGGCCCCAAGGCGGTGCGAGAGGGCCCCAAGACGGCCCGAGAGGGCCCCAAGACGGCCCCAAGAGAGGCCCAAGAAGGGAAACACGAACCGAGAATCCGAGCTTTCTACCCCGAGAGGTTCTCGGGAAGTCCCAAGAGGCCCCCAATCGGATCCAAGAGGCTCCCAAGAAGCTCCCAAGAGGGCCGAGGAGGTTCCAAGAGATCTCCCAAGGTGGCCCCAAGAGGCACAACTCATTGTTTTACGATTGGGTTTTGACGGGTTTTAATATGTTCTGCCTTTGGCATCCCGATGCTCCAAGACGGCCCAAGAGGCTTCCAACACCCGTCCCATATAGAGGAAGAGGCCTCCAAGAGGGCCCCAAGACAGCCCGCGATGGCCCCAAGACGGTGCTTGAGGCGCCCAAGACGGCCCGAGAGGGCCCCAAGAGCCCCAAGAGAGGCCCAAGAAGGGGAACGCGACCCAACAGCAGAGCGGTCCCCCCACAAGGCCCACAGGAGGCTGCAAGAGGCCCCCAGGTGGTCCGACGAGGACCCCAAAAGCTTCCCGAGGGCCTAAAAGGCCCCTAGGAGACGTCCAAGAGGCTTTAAAATAGCGCAAGACTGCCCTCGATGCGTCAAAACTGCTTCCAGGAGGCCCCCGGGAGGCTTCCGGATTGCCTCAATCTGGCCGCAGGTGGCCTGAAGTCGGGCCTCCACGCAGCCAAGACGGCCAATGACGGCTTCAGATTGCAGAACCGATGCCCCCAAGGGACCCTCAGACGCCCCCCCAAGAAGCACCCAAGAGGTGCCTCCAACCGCCAGTTGACGAAGCATGCGAAACACCCCAGAAGCTCTTCAGATGCCGTCGCGCGCCTGTGCTTGACAGCGTTGTCCAAGATCGTCCAGCGCCCCCCCGGCCTGGGCTAGAACCTGAGCGCGCGCGAAGCGCGCGCGATGGTTCTAGCCCAGGGGCCCGAAAACAGCTGCCCGACCCTCCATGGGAGTACCGGGGCTCATTTTCGCTGTGTTTTTACGGGGTTTCGGCGTCCCGGGCCTCGGAGGCCGCCGCGATGGTCCTGGACATTATCCAGATCCTCGGCGCGGGCTCCAAGACCATTCCGCAGAGGGCTCCAACAGGCTCCAGGGCAGCCCAAGAGGGCTCCAAGACGGCTCCAGGAACGACTGCAGGGTCTCATTCTTGTTGTGTTTTCTGCAAGACGGCTCCAGGAAGACTGCATGTCTTATGAGGATGGCTTCCGCCTCTCGCCCCGAGCATCCCATACTGCCTGAACGGTTCCCACTCGCCTTCCCCAAACCCAGCGCTTGCCCAAGCGCGTTCCGGACGGTCTTCGCCGGAACGCGCTGGAATGATCACGCGCTGCGGTTTCCCATGCCAACGTCCTCGGACGTGGGCGCCCTGCCACGAGCGCGTTCCGGGAAGATGCTCCCGGAACGCGCTGAAAAGATATGGCCACATCTCGGGGACGCTCCCGGCACCGCTGCCCCAGCCTTTCCGGGCAGCCTCCACAGCGCTCCAGGAGGGCCCAAGACGCCCCCCAGGAGCCCCCAGAATGCGAAAGGATGGCCCAAGACGCTCATGAGCAGCCCAAGTCAGCCTTCCGACGGCTCTCGAGGCTCCCAGGTGGCCTCCAAGAGACCCCAAGAAGTCTGATAGGTATCACGGTACGGCCCGAAGAGGCCAAAGTCGTATATGTTCAATGGTATTTTCAACGTTTTTGGCTTCTCGCGTTTTCGAGCTTGCACGGGTCCAAGAGCGCCGAAGAGCCTCCATGGGGGTACCGGGGCTCATTTTCCCTGTGTTTCTAAAGGGTTTCCGCGTCCTGGGCCTCGGAGGCCGCCGCCTCCGACCCCTCATGGGAGGACGGGGCGGCCGGGGAGGTCCAAAATAGTCCAGGAGGGCCTCCACAGGCTCCCAAGACGGCCCAAGCGGGCCCCGAGTCGCCGAAATCCCGCTCCAGGACGCCCAAGATAGACCCGAGACGGCCCGAGAGGCCCCCCAAGGCACTCCACGACGCTTCAAGACGCCTCTCCAGAGCCCTTCAAGAGGCCGAAATCGTCAATCTTACGAAGGTTTTCGAACGATTTTGGCCTTCCAGCCTTTTCGGCTGTCCGACGTTCCAAGACGGCTCAATAGGCCCCCAAGAGCGCCCCAAGACGGCCCAAGAGGGCCCCAAGACGGCCCCAGAGTCGCCCAAGACAGCCCAACAGAGCCCCAAGACAGCCCCAAGATGCGCCCAAGAGGGGGACCACGATTCCAAAATTCGACCCTCCCGCTTGAAGAGTTCCCCAGGAGGCCCCAAGGAGCCCCCCAAAGGCCCCAGGAGGCTCCCAAAAGGCACCCAGGAGGCCCAAACGAGGCCTCAAGAGGCCACAAAACAGCCCCGAGGAGGCCCCACAACGGTCCCAAAACGGCTACCGAGAAGCTGCGAAACTGTCTTCACGACGTCCCCGGCAGGCCAACCACGAGATCCAAACCAACACCCATGAGGCCTCTAACCCACCACCCAGAGCACGGTGGCGGGAGCAGTGCCAGCACTTGTGCACAGCATGTTCTGGCGGGAGCCTTCCGGAACACGCTGCAGGAGGAGGAGGAAGATCAGGAGGAGAGAGAGAGAGAGAGAGAGAGCTGGAGTGGGAGGAGGAGGAGGAGGAGGAGGAGGAGGAGGAGGAGGAGGAGGAGGAGGAGGGGGACGAGGAGGAGGAAGAGGCCTCCCAGACAGCTCCAAGATAGCCGAAGAGGCTTCCAAGAGGGCCCTGGGTGGCCCACGAGGGCCCCAAGGCGGTGCCTGAGGCGCCCAAGACGGCCCTAGAGGGCCCCAAGACGGCCCCAAGAGAGGCCCAAGAAGGGAACGACGAACCGAGAATCCGAGCTTTCTACCCCGAGAGATTCTCGGGAAGTCCCAAGAGGCCCCCAATCGGATCCAAGAGGCTCCCAAGAAGCTCCCAAGAGGACCGAGGAGGTTCCAAGAGATCTCTCAAGGTGGCCCCAAGAGGCACAACTCATTGTTTTACGATTGGGCTTTGACGGGTTTAAATATTTTCTGCCTTTGGCATCCCGATGCTCCAAGACGGCCCAAGAGGCTTCCAATACCCGTCCCACATAGAGGAAGAGGCCTCCAAGAGGGCCCCAAGACGGCCCGCGAGGGCCCCAAGACGGTGCTTGAGGCGCCCAAGACGGCCCGAGAGCGCCCCAAGAGCCCCAAGAGAGGCCCAAGAAGGGGAACGCGACCCAACAGCAGAGCGGTCCCCCCACAAGGCCCACAGGAGGCTGCAAGAGGCCCCCAAGTGGTCCGACGAGGACCCCAAAAGCTTCCCGAGGGCCTAAAAGGCCCCTAGGAGACGTCCAAGAGGCTTTAAAATAGCCCAAGACTGCCCTCGATGCGTCAAAACTGCTTCCAGGAGGC